CTCTCTCTCTCTCTCTCTCTCTCTCTCTCTCTCTCTCTCTCTCTCTTGAAAGCTGGCGCGTTATCCGTTATAGTTACTCACGTTGATTTACAACGGCGGATCCGCGCGGTAACGCGCGCGGATTTATAAGTGTCGTTAGCTGCGCGCTCGTAAGTATCGTTACTCTCCCGACATCGACGAGTGTTACGAATGGGGATAAATTCGCGCGATTTCGCGGGTAATCCCGTACATTTATGCGACGGAGAACTCGCCGTGGAAAGTGATACGCCAATTGAACATTTGCGAGGGTACATATAAGAGGAACGTTATGATCGCTCGTGCATAAATCACCGCGACCGCGCGCATTCACACACACACACATACATACACACGTACTTACACCACGCGTGCGCACACACGCACACGTGAGACGTTATAATTACACGCGAGCGTTAGCATACACCATCTAAATGCCTTGTTTACGACGGCGTCGCTTAAAAATAAATTTTAAATACTCGCGGGAACATCTAGTCGCCAGCCGCGCTGCGTTCAGTAACTTATGCTTAATCTGGAGATAGATACGAATTGCCTTAACGCGTTACGTGAACGAGAGGAACGCAAGAACTAATTGGATAAGCGAGGCAAGAACACGATCGCGAGGTATGCTCAGGCATAGTTCGCGAATCGATAGTCCGGCAAGATCTACGAATCGCGCGCGACTTGTGATACGTTATGTTAATGACAGTTGAGCGCCTTTTACCGGACAGTTTTTGCGATCTGGTCAATGCAAACCGGTGAGAAGTATTTTCACCGCGAAAGTCAGCCGGAGGATGATTCTCGTTTCATCCTCCGCGCACGGCATACGCACGTCGCACGCGATCTTCGTGTGTCAGGTGGAATAATGTTCCAAAATTGACAGGAACGTTTGTCATCGTTTGACAGGCGCGTTTTGCCTGCGAGCGCGCGGTGAAAATGCGAATCGATGACACTGCGCGTTTCGAGAACCTGCTGCTTCACTGGGGAATTATTTGTTTCTTTTCGTTCGTCGCCGACTGCCGGGTAGTTAGTTCGTTAGCAATTCCGTAATCCGCTGAGTTTAGCGACATTCCGCCGAGTTTGCGAGCGCGCGTGCGACCAGTAATAGTTTATATAACTATATTCGCGAGCACGTACGGGATTTCGCGCGGACGCGTAACTTTCCATGCTCCTTCGAGCGTTCCCAGTTCTTGCGTGCTCGAGCAACTGGTTTAGTATTTGGCCCACATCGCCGCAGGGAACTTTCGAGACTTTATTCAATTTCTTTCGATCGTAACTTTGTGTCTAACTTGGACCCGCGCATAATCCCTTGACTACACTTCTGTCTACGTCTCGCCGCGTGTGCGTATGTGTCAGTAGAAATATTTCGTTCCGAAAGATTTCTCAAATTTTTTCCACGAGGTATTTTTACGTGATATATACGTGTAATATTATATAAAATGCGCTAACAATATCACGCGCATCGTCAGATATCCGTGCAAGATCATCCTCCAAATCAAAATTTTCGATCTATGTTAAACTGTGAATTCTACAACGCAATAGGAGCTAAATTAGCAAAGTAGGTTTAATATTATTTACTCCTATTTTGACTCTGATGATGTTTGAAACTTCCCTTTTTATTTTCTTTACTATTAAAATTATTATAGGCTTCAGAATATCAATATAGGAATGGAGTAATAAGGCTGAAAGTAGGATCAAAATTTCGATTCGGGCGTGTTTAAAAAAAATGATCTGAGACATGAATAAAGTTAAAAGATTAAATTTGGCGTGATGAAACGTATTGTTGTTCAGTTTACTATGCCAACACGCGCGGTTGCAAAGTAAAGTCTGCATTCCGAATGATAAAGTAACGCGTAGCCGTTTTGCTCCCAAGAATACGATAATACCATTCATTACGACTGAGCATTTCTTTTTATTGTCAGTTAGTACGCGATGCAAGAATTCACGCGTAAAACTCGAATAAAATCTCGCTTTACGACCTTTGCAAAAGGTACAATCGTGCGTTCTACAACGGTCAAAAAGTCCACCACTCGCCTTGGTCTCGACGAACGTTCACTTGCAACATGATAATTTTAAATTCGAGGTAATTTACATATTTATCTTTACATATTCGGTTCCTTCACGTAGAACACACAAAACTGTCTGACAGTGATCCTCCAAATTAGCACCGTAATTAGATTTTCCACTCAGCCTCGAATAATATTCTGCGGGAACGTGGCTTAACATGGTCAAGGGTCAACTCGTTGATTTACGCACCTGACCGGACGGTTGCGTCTCTGAACCTCAGATTTTCACGCGCAACCTGATTTCCCCAGCGTCCTCTTATCCAACTTTTTCGCCGAGACGATTCTGCGGGTTTTACAGGTGTCGCGTCGCCGTCACACTTGCTGGCGCGTGTCGCCTCTAATTCTTATCATCGTCGGCTCCGTTCCCGCTGTCGTGACAGCTTCTTCAGCTTCAGCTAGGTGAAAATTCGTCGACGCCGCCGCCACAAGCCGCCAAGCGTGTCACTTTCCTTTCCTTGACGTAATTTTCGCGCAAAAACGACCGTCTTGTATCGGGAATCTCGCGACACGTTCCTCTCTTACTCGCTTCTCTTGGCTTGGCGAACTTTCACCCGTACCGCACTCGCGGCGAATAAGCGCGTTTTAATCGTATCTCACGATTACGCGGCATATTTCGTGTCATTCTGGATTTTGCGTGCGGTAACGAGAATCGATGGACGCGACTAATCTCATGCTACTCTAAACCATTTCGATATCCGCTCTTGTCAACTTAAATTCATCTACGATCAAGGAAAGTCTGCTAAAATATATTTATTTCTTATATCATCACAGAGCAATCATGTTTTGCAAATGTTGATTTTTGCGGACGATATTAGACAGTCGGATAAAAGCGAATTTTACTTTCGATTTTGGTATCTAGAATACAGCTGATCACGAAACGGGAAAGGTTTCCTAAAGATCGCGACTCATAATTACTCAGTCGACTCAAGTAGCGTCTTGTTACGCGGCGAGAGGTTTTACGAAAACGACTCGTGTGTATCAAGAGGCGCTTACGTACTCGTCGTTGTAGCGTCGTCGTAATAATAACGCCGCCGTAGGTCTTGGAGCGCGGTTGTGCAACGCGGAGACGCACTGGTGGAGTCACAAGGATGATGCATCCGCGGTGCATCCACCGTGACCCCGGGATGTGTGTGCACGCGGTCGGCTTACGCTGCGCGATCGCGTGCGATAACGCCTAACGTATGCAACACTCATAATAAAATCAATGAGCAA